CACAGGAGGGACAGGACCAGCAGCTGCCAGAGACATGCAGCTGGGCAGAGCTGGGAGCCTCTCCCCTGTGAGCAGGGTGAGGATGGTGCAGCACAGGGCTGAAGGGCTTCACTCTGCCCAGTCCATCCCAGCAGTCAGGGGACCAGCATGACATCCCCAGGCAGGCACTGGCTAGTGGTGACACACAGCCCACCGTTCCCCGGCCCCCGCACTCCCCCGCCGTTCCCCAGCCAGTGTCCTGCTAGAGCCACCATGTCATCCCTCTCAGGACTGACACATCCCTGAGCGAGGGAGCGGCACGAGCGTGGCTGTGTGTCCTTGCATGTGACAATCCTGTTGTGCCACCTCAGCACCAGCTGCTGGGGATCCCAGCACGGGCTCCATCACCCGCTCCCACCCACGGGTGCCTGGCATGCAAGGCGCAGCAGGGCTGGGCAGCAGGCTCCCCCCGATCCTCCGGGAGCAGGACGGACAGCAACATACCCATTGTGCTGGGGGGTGCAGGCGGGCGCCAGGGGCGCGTACGTCACAGGTTTCGTCACCAGCCCAGGCCGAGGGTTCGGAGGCGAGCCGGCCCCAAAGGGCCGAGCTGTTTTGTTGAGGGCGGTGCTGGGAGCGAAGTTATATTTCAGGGGTTCAGAGCAGGGGAGTGAGTCCTGAGCGAGACAAAACACACAGACACGGGCTCACACGTCAAGCAGCATGCAAGGGGCAGCCCCGGGCCAGGCAGCGCAGCAGGCAGCCAGGTAGGAAAGCCGGACAGCACGTGCACCTTGGATACCAGGCTCTGCCATGCTGGCAGCTCTCTCCACAGGACACCTGGCCCAGCGACAGCAGGTCACAAACCCAGCCCAAGGGTTGTTGGAGGATTAGTAAGTGCACCAGATGCTCGCTGCTGCCTGTGGCAGGGCGGTGCATGCACACACGCCGATCACAACTGTCCCATGGCACAAAGCTGAATGCATGCAGGTGGCTTCTGTCCAGGAGCCACTAGTCACTGGCCCCAGACCTGCCTCCCCGTGCCAGGGCACTCCCCAGCACTAGCAAACACGGTGCTGCAGCTGCCCAGCCTCCTCCCCTGCATTGGCCCCTCTGCATCCCTGCCCACACCCAGCACCAGCGAGGGCACAGGCAGGTGGCAGCAAGGGTTGGGCAGACCCTGCTCCCTCTGACCTCCTTGGTGCCAGAGATCAGAGCAAGGTTTTCTAGACCTCCAAACACACCCTGGTCCCCTAAAAGCCTGTGAGCCCCAGGAACGAAGTCCATTTGTCCATCTAGACTCTGAGATTCCCTTCCCCTGAGATGAGGTTGAGCTGCCACTGCAGCGCCAGGAGCAACACATACCTTCTGCGGCTTCCCCAGCTGGTTCTGGGCTCTGCAAGAGAGGAAACATATGAGCAGGTGCTAGAACCATCCCAGTCACTTCCCTGGTACCCCAGGGACGCAGCACCCGCCCAAGGGGAGCAATGGCTGGCACTGCCCCATGGCATGCAACCAGGCTAAGCCCCATCCATCCAGAGCCCTTGGACCCAGCCAGGGGCTACCAGGCTCTGAGCCCTTAAGGGCCAATGATGCCAGGAGATAGCAATGCTGGAAAGCGGCACTGGGCAGAAGGTCCTGAGTCTGCTCCAGTCACATCAGTACCCCATGTTTGCAGGACCCATGACTCCTACCTGCTCAGGGTGAGGCAGAGCCTGTCCCCGCAGGCACGGATCCTGTTCTGGGCCTCGATGTGTGTCATGGCATTGGTGCTCTCCCCATCGATGTACAGCACCCAGTCACCCTAGTCACCCACTCCCCCACCGGCCTGGGCTGCCTTCCCACCCGGCGTCAGCTGCAGGACACACAGAGTTAGGCAGAGCTGGAATGGCTGAGTGGCAACACGGGGATGTCCCTGCCCTTGTGAGGGCAGAGGTCTGCTGGGGCTCAGCCTCCCTGGCCCAGCACAGGACACCCAGACAGACTTGACCCAGGGGGGGAGGTGGGAACCCCCCCGGAACACTTCCCGTTTCCCAGTGCATGAGTCCAAAACAGCTTCTTCCTCTCAGCAGCACCAGAGGGCTAAGCACTACCCCAGGGCACTGCCCAGCCCCTGCCCTCTGGCATGGCTGGGGACCATGCCACCACCCCAGGGCCCCATCCCCATGGGGCCAAGCACGGAGGCCACGGAGGCAGTGCTGGCTCAACCTCGGCAGGATGCCCAGACACCCCTCGGAGCCATCCCACAGCCCTGGGGCAGGAAGGGAGCACAGTGAGTCAGGGCCTGTTGGGCAGCCCACATCTCACTGCAAACCACAGGCATGTCCAGCCCTTCGCCTCGGGCGAGGGGGGGACAGGGGAGGCAACCCTTGGGCACTCCCCCCAGCCGCCCGCGCTCCTGTTCCCAGTTCCCAGCAGGCGCAGACATTACCTCATTCCCACAGAAGCCCTCCCCGGGCAGGGAGACACCCGTCCCCACCCACACTGCTCCCCCAGACATCGTCCTGCTGGGGCAGCCAGGAGCATGGCCACGGGTTCCCTTTCCTGGCCGCAGTGCCAGGGATGTGCCTTGCCCCCACCATGGCTCTGTGGCTCTACGTCAGCCTCACGCTAGGAAGCCGCGGGTATCCTGTCGTCCCGCCAGGGATGCACAGCCAACGGCCAGCAGGGCCTGGAGCACCACACACAGCTCCCAGGCACTGACAGTCAGACAAACAGACAGACAGACGTGGGCAGGCTGCCGCC